GCCCGGCGTGTCCCCCGGGACACTCTGTCGCAGCCGCTTCCGAGATGGCAGGCTCCCGGCCCCACCCCCTGCTTTGCATAGCCCACGCCCCTTCCGGGCTGGCCACGCCCCCAGGCCTGGCCCCAGGCTCTGGGTTCCCAGCAGCCAGGAAGGTGCGCCCCCCGCCCCCCCCCGGGCAAAGGGGGCTCCCAGGCCCTACTGCCTCCAAGGGGAAACTGAGGCACAGAGGGGCAGGAGCCCAGGCCCCTGTTCCTGGACCCCGACGGGGCTGCCCGTCTCCTCCCCGCTGGGAAAAGGGCCAAGAACCAAGCGCCCGGGGAAGGGCCTGAGAGCCAGTGGGGGGAAACTGAGGCACAGCGCGCGCAGGGACTCGACCAAGGTCAGCGCGCTTGTCGGTGGCAGGGCAGAGGCTAGACCTCGCATCCCCTGCTCAGGATCCGGCCCAGGCCTGCAGGTGTGCCCTCCCCAGGCAGGGATTTGTACCCGCTGTTCAGACCGGCCCCTAGAAAGCCCCTAAGGACGGGGAGGCCTCCTCCTCCTCCTCCGCCCCGCGCTAGGCCTGGACTCTGCAGCCCCCACGCGCAGGCTCGGAGCCGCTCACATGCGGCACACCCGGAGCCAAAGAAACCCCAGGCGCAGGGGAAGGAAAAATCCCGAGCCCTGCCCAGAGCTCACAGGGGGCAGACGTCCGAGCTCGCCACGAAAGCGCGTGCGGCAGCGAGCCCTGCTACCACCACGGGACACGGCCAGTCAGCCGCAGCTTCCTCAGAAAGGCAGCTGCTTCTGGGGTGGAGCCCAGCCGCGACTGCACGCTCGGGCGAGCAGGAACTCTCCTCTCTTTGTAAAAGAGGAAGGGCGTGGACAATAAAACAGCCGCACCTGGAGCAGCCCGGACGAGGCAGCGGGGCTGTTCCAACACCGGGTAGGTGCCCCCAGGACTCGAACAACCTGCTCCGCTCCCATAGAGGCAGGCGGGAAGGGAGCAGCAGCGGTCACGGCTCCTGCAACCCCTGCCGAAGGCATCATCAGCACTGTGCAAGCCACCCCGGACCCCTCCATCACCTAAACTCTCCAACCCCCCTCACCCTGGCAGGGCATCAGGAAGGAAAGCCGAGGCCGGCTGGGGTCACAGCCATCTATTCAGCGCCACACGCAGCAGCTACGGCGGGGGGACGGCTTTGGAGCAGAGCCCAGCAAGGCAGCGGTGCCATCCTGCACCCCGGGGTGCCTCTGGGGCCTCCCTTGGACACCGCTTGGACTGGGCGCCTTGGAGCTGTGCTGGTGCCAGGCCTCAGTCCATCTCCTTGCAGACGAGGAGTCCGGGCAAGGGCAAGGCACACTGGCTGGCAGCGCCGGGGCTGCCTCCTCCGTGGCAGCGCCGGCTCCCAGGAGGGGCTTTGGCAGTCTCTTGTGTGGGCGCCAGGCAGCGGCGGGGCCGAAAAGCATCTTCCGCAACACAGGTCACTTCACAGACACTCCCTCGCTTTGGCGCTGGGTGCAGAGCCACCCCTGAGTCCTGCCCGGCTCTCCCGAGAGCCAGCTGCTGCCCGGCCCCAACCCACCCGTGCTGTGCTCAGCGTGGCTCTCCCGGGGCAGCTGCCGAGGCGCTCCGGAGGGGCAGCCCATCCGGTCCCAGCAGGTGCAGGCTGGGGTCTTCCAGGAGCTGGGGGCCCGGTCCCGGCTGTAAGGGAACAGAGACACAGGGGACAGATGAGGACGCTGGAGCCAGGTCCACGTGGGTGCGGCGAGGATTTGTCTACACTAGGGCGAGGTGGAGGGCTCCAGGCACGTGCACAGCCGGAGGGGTAGGTCATTCGAGCGGATGGACCTGGCTGTTTCATGTGCTAATGACCCACCCTCTATCATCCCCTGCTATTGTGGGCCTATGGTGTCCAACCCCTGGGGACACGCTCACAGCTGCCTGGCGCAGACTTCTGCTCACACGCCGGACCCATGGCCAGGAGCCCCGAGAGCCCCCGCCTGCTTCCTCTTTCTCCATGAGGCAGCAAGACAGCCATGTCACCCCACCTCAAGGCCCTGCACAGCCAGGCCTGGGGCGGAGGGGCTCATCCTGGAGCCTTGCAAGGAGTGCACCCCGGGGCTGGAGCGGGGCAGAGCCCCTGCTTCACACCCCCAAGTCCCATGCGAGGCCTGGGCCTGAATAAGACCCTCTAAGCACAGTGCAGGCAGCAAGGAGTGGGTCAAAGCCCTGCAGCGCCCTGCACCGCCCGCTCCATGCCCACAGCCCCCACCCCTACCTGGGTGTGCAGGATGTACCGGATGGC